GGCCGTGACGGCCGCTTCCGGTGCGCGCCCGCGCGGTAAGTCTAGACGCCGGAGGACTGCCGACTTTGTGGTTCTTTCGTGCGCCCCAGCGGCAGTGGTGCGGCTCCCACTGCCACTGCCGCTGACGTTTGTTTTTGGCGCGGGCAAGACGGGCGTCTGCAACGCTACTGGGCAGTGGGGCGGCCACAGGACAGAAAAGGCTACTCAGGAATGGGAGCGATAATTGCAAATTACGTTTCTAAGGGATCACTATCCAGTTTAGACAGAGAACACCTGAAACACAACAACAAAAACAACCAAATTCAAAAGTAGGAAAGGACTTGAATAGACATTTCTTCAAAGAAGATATATTAATGGCAAATAAGCAAATGAGAAGATGCTCAACATCACTGAACATTAGGGAAATGCAAATCAGAGCCACACTGAGTTACCACCTCATACCCAAGGGGCTGGAGGGGATGGCTGGAATCAAAATAACTGCAACAAAATGGCAGGTGACGGCCAGGAAGTGGAAAAATTGGAACCCTGTGCACTGCTGGTGGGATTGTAAAATGGTACAGCTGCTGTGGAAAGCAGTATGTGCCCTCAAAAAATCAAACATATAATTACCATATGATCCAGCAATTCCACTTCTGGGCGTATACCCAAGAGAATTGAAAGCAAGACCTCAAAGAAATAATTGCACACCCATGTGCATGGCAGCATTATTCACAGTAGCCAGCAGGTGGAAGCAACCCAATGGAAGTCCATTGGTAGAAGAATGTTTAAATAAAATGTGGTCCATTCATACAATGAAATATGATTGAGCCTTTATTAGGGAGGAAATCTTGTCACATACTATAACGTAGATGAACCTTGAGGACATTATGCTCAGTGAAATCAACCAGACACAAAAATACGAATACTATATGAGTCCACTTATGTGAAATACTTAGAGTGGTCACAATTATAGAACTAGAAAGTAGAATGGTGGGTGCCAGGAACTCAGAGGGGAATGGGAAGTTAGTGTTTAATGGAGACAGAGCTTTAGTTTTAGAAGGTGAAAAAGTTCTGGAGATTGTTGGTGGTGATGGATGCACAACTGTGTGAATATACTTAATGTCATTATGTAAATATGGCTAAGATGGAAAATTTTATGTTTTTCTATAATTTTTGAAAAAGGAATATGAATGAGAAAAAAGAGAGGGAGAGGGGAAGAAAAGCAGAAAGGGGAGAGTAGATATGGAGAGGGAAGAGAGAGGAGGAGGATGGGGGAAGGGAGAGCATGAGGTACTCGAACTAGACTTTGTTAAAGATTCTTTGCTTGGCTAAATTTTAGTCAGCCTCCTGAACCTCCTCCTAGGACCGTCTGTGCACTTCCTTGTAAAACTTAGTTTTAGCAAAGAGCCCTGCTAAGTCATTGTAGTCAGAATCTGCCACCCTGATCTGAGATTTGATCAGGTTCCTCATCCTCCACCATCCCCCAGGGGATGTCCCATCACCTCTGGCTGTCCAGATACCCTGTTAGGATGGTTTAACTAGGATCTCCCTCACCCCTAAAGCTTCCTCTTAGTCATTTTCCATCCACTGACTCCCATTCTGCTCTTCAGCTGTAAATTCCCACTTGCCTGTGGTGTATTTGGAGTTAAGCGCGATCTCCCTCCTCCATTGAAAGACCGCATTGCAGTGGTCCCTATGCCTATTGTGGTGATCCTAAATAAAGTATTCCATACCATGTATTAACAGGTATCACTGTATCGATTTTTCTTTAACAACCTTTAGAAGTAGGTAGGCTTGGGGGTTGGGCCTCTAGAGCAGGGGCAGTGTGGTGGCGAAAGGGAGGGTGGCTCAAGGAGTCAGGACTTGAACCAGGATGTAAGGGGGGATTGTAGTCTGGGCCGGGATCAACTGGCCTGAATGGACAGTGCAGGGTGCAAGGAGAAGTGAGCAATGACTGGCCATGTGGGTGAGCTTCAGAGGCCATGCCCACACGTCACCCTGAAGTACCAGAGTGAAAGTCAGACCAATTGGAACTGTGGTGACCAAGAGGAGCAACGCATTAAACCAGTCTTTACCAACTAAAAGATCAGAGCTGAGGGTCTCTAGTGTCTGCTTGCATACCTTGTGGTGGTGGGGAGCTCACTAACTGCACAGAGGCCATCCCCTTGCTGGAAGCCCATTTCTGAGACACCATCCACACTGCCTGCTCAGTCTTCGACTCCCTCAGGGCACCCTAGTGAAGCCTCTCCCTCCCCGCAACCTCTGAGCCTGGAGCCTTCCCAGGCCTCGATTCTCCCTCACAGACAGGGTCTCTCTCTTCCTCATTTGCTGCTGCCTCATGTGGACTGCTCTCAGGGCTGTGCTGTGGTGGGAAGCATGACTGCTCACTATGAATGCTGTGAGTTTGCCTCCTCCCCAGAGTAGTGGCCAGGCAGTGGTGTCTGCACTGGGATCTGGCCACGCTCTAACCAACTGTGTGACTGTCTCAAGCCAAGCAGTGGCCTGGTGTCTTTTTGCCTCAGTTTCCTCACCTGTAATCTGAGGGAACCTCTGCACCCCCACCCAAGGTCATTGTGGGAATTAGATGACAGAGAGACACATAGCAGTCAGTCCTCAGCCTGCCTAAAACATGAGTGCTCTTATTGATGCTTGTGTGGATGGAAGCTGTGAACATATTTACTAAAGTGTGTTCACTGGTAATCAAAATTCAACCAGGTTAATTTATAAATGAAGTAAACAGGACCTAAGTGCAGTGGCTTCTTGAAAGACAACCCACAGGCGTTTGTTGTGTGTCTTCAGTTGGGAGTTTATTGAGTGTGAAGCCAAGCCCAGTACCCCAGGGGTCATGGCTTTGGGAGGACGTCCTGCTAAAGCTTGCTCAGTCCTCCTGATAGGGGACATGGAAGCCCAGGGTGCTCCCTAGGGGGAAGTGAGCAAAGAAGGTACGGGCCAAGTCCTCAATCTGGGGGTAAGCCCCCAGGGTCTGGAAGTGCTGCACGTAGTTCCAGAAGTCAGAGGTGGAGAAAGGCCAGTAGGGCATGGCTGGCAGCTCCGCGTAGGGATCTGAAAGATACAACACCTGCCTCAGGGGCTGCCCCCACCGTCCTGCCCTGAGACACCACCCGTGGGACTTTGAGGTAAGTGGATTGTGTCCAGCTGTGCCCTCACTGATGCGACCTTCCTGGGCTTGGTCCGTCCTTGGTCGTCAGTGAGGTGATGACCTAGTCCCTTGGGGATGCCTTATCTGGGGGACAGGGAAAGAGGAAGAGGATGAGAGGGAGGGGGAGGCCTGTCCTTGTTTGGGGGGATACTGAGCAGGGAGGGAACGGTGTGGTGGGAATATGGGGCCCTCACATCCTGATGGGATTTCAGAAGAGAGCACAGCCTCCTAGTTCCCAGAGCTTGGGCGAAGATGGCCCTGGCGATACTGGAAGTGGTTAGGACTCAGGATTGGAGGGTCTGGGGGCTGGAGCCCAGATATGAGGAAGGGAATGTCAGGGGGTCATCAAGGGCCTTGGCTCCTCCCCTCATCTAGTGTGTTCCCATTTTGCTAGAGTTTAAGTCCCTCTGCTTATACAGCTCCAAGCTGGCCACATTTTTTCTGCTCAGACCTGAGCTAAACCAAGGCTCTGATGTGCTACTTGGGAGAAAACACCACTGCCACCCCCAGCAAGCTTTTCTTCCCCACTTCACCCAGGTACACCAGTTACTTGAATAAACAAAAGGAAAGACATCAGAGAACAGTACCTCCCTCCTCCTGAACAGGCTTGGCCCCTGCAAAGGAAGAGAAGTGGTGTCACCTAGGATGTTCCCGAAGAGGGCAGGGATGGGCAAGGTCACTCTCCTGACCCACCCCAACCAACTGCAGGACTCCCAGGTGTCTGAGCAGCCCCCGGGACGGGTACAAGAGGGAACAGCACAGGAGGCCTGCTGGAAGTCACATCAGCTGTGCCCACCCAGAGTGAACCCTCACCTGCAAGATTCCCCAGCAGGAGACAGAGGGCTAGCCCTGGCACCACGCAGGCCTGCATCTTCCCCCAGACACAGCCCCGGTCCACGACGACACTCCGGTCCACCTGCAGGGGAGGAACCCAGGAGGGGTGGGACCACTCACCATCAGGACCAGCTGCCTTAGCCAGCCCCAAGGTGGGCAGCACTTGGGAAAATGGTGCTGAGAAAAGAAAATTCTTACTGCTTTCATAGCCATTTCAATTTCAGTGGTTTCGAACCATCATTCTGAAAAACACCAGTTGAACTTTGCTAGGAGTAGCCATTCCAAGTACACTTAACTACAATACCACAGTCAAGTGTTCAGACTTCAGACTAGCACCGTATTTATTACTGCTAGATGATTCAGCCTCATGTACTTAGGTACTCTTATACATGAATCATGTTATTTTCTCAGATGCAGACACTGATGCCATACTTTTACTTGCAAAACTGTTGGTGCAGCCTAGAGGCAATTCTTGAAGCCCCAAGTCTACATGGATCAAATTGAAAATCATTGTTTTCTAGTTTTATGTAGGTATATTTACAAATACAAATTTTATATTTTTAAGGTTAAAAAAATACCATTATTCTGAGGTGAAATCCCAGCCTCAGTTGGCCTTATGCAATTTTCAGTATTTAAAAAATTGCACTCACATCCCCAAAATCTGGCCCAGGACCCGGGTTTAACCCTCCCAAGGTTACCTTGTCTGTCCTGTCTGCTCAGCCTGCGTGCCTCCTGGATGGGGTCTGCTGCCAGCTTGCAGTTCCTCTTTATACAAGGGCTGGGGGTGAGGACGGAAGCATCATCTGCTTGAACCGTCAAACTGAATATTTCATCCCAACCCGGAGGACTGTGGGCCTCTGTCACTCTGCTGGCAGGCACACTCAGAACATCAACTTCTGGGAATCTGATCCAAAGATCAAATTGAGAGAAAAAACATCTTTGCTAGGACATTTCTAAAATGTTTAGGACTGAATTCAACCTTGGCACTTGAAATGAACCCAATGTCCTCTCCACAAGGAGAGATCCTGCGCTGATATTGGGGCTGGCTAAGATTACTTCCCTGTGAGAAGGGACTGGGTAATCCCACAGCCATCCCCACCTGGACAGGCAGGCAAGGGGAGACCCTTGGGAACTCCCCTTCAGGGGATCTGCCTGCAGGACGCCGTTGAGCAAAGTCACAGGCAGGACATGTGGGGTTGGGATGGACTTTTATTTCCAGACCAGGGCTTTCCTGTTGTACAAAGCTAAGTCTATGGTTGGGCAGGAGACTGTCCCAGCCCTGGGGACACCAGCAGCCAGCACCCAGGGTCTCTGCAGGCTGGGCTACTCTGATTACACCAAGGCCCCACTAACTATGACGGGGCCTGTGTCCACCTTGTCTCTCCAGTAAGTGCAGCCTCATGGCCCTGCCCCTTGGGGTCCCATCGCCCACTGAAATCAGAGTGTAAACTTCACTGTTGTTCCTGGTGACCTTGAGGCTCTACGGGTATATGTAAGTATTTTTTTCTTCTTTCTGGGTATACGTATTTTCCTTAATTTTTATGTAAGGAAAAAAAACTTCAAAAGAAGAAAAATATACACCCAGTAGTTAGTTTCCTGCTGCTTATCACTCCACCCTGCAGTCCCGGGTTCCCCTCCCAGATCCTCCATAACCACTTTGCCACCCCTGCTACCACCACAGCCTTTCCCTTTTTCCTGAGTCCTCCAAGCCATTTTCTCTCACTGGCCCAGTCACAGGCCTTCCCTGACTTCACCTGGAGGTCCCCGCTAGCAGGCCTCACCTGGAGGGCCCTGGCTCCCCTGCACCCTGGAGGATATTCCCTTGCCCCTCAGCCATCATCCTTCTCTCCCCAGCTCTGTGCAGCACCAATGACTCCCTACCCCCACCAGTATGCCCTTGCTGGGGGTTTGCACACCAAACCAGCTATTGTTTGGCAGTAGCCCATGGGGCAATAGTTCTCAAACTTTAAGATTTGCTCAGTTGGCTCGGTGGCTCAGCCTGTAATCCCGCTCCTTTGGGAGTCTGAGGTGAGTGGATTGCCTGAGCCCGCAGGTTCGAGACTCACCTGGGCAGCGAGACCTCATCTCTACAATAAATCAAAAAAATCAGCCGGGCGTTGGTGGCGCATGCCTGTAATTCCAGTTACTTGGAAGGCTGAGGCGGAAGGATCACCGGAGCCCAACAGGTCGAGGGTGTGGTGGCCGGGAGCGGCCACTGCAGTCCAGTCTGGGTGACAGAGTGAGACTACAACCCCCCCCCCCAAAAAAAGATTTGCTCAGAATCGTTAAAATGCAGGTTCTGATCCAACAAGCATGGAGGAACCTGGGATTCTGCATTCCTAACAGGCTCCCAACAACTGCTATGGTACTGGTCCCAGAGCACATGGGCAACAGTTCTTAGTCTGAGTGTAGGTCAGAGTCCCTGGGGGCCTGTTCTCAGAGTCTCTGGGGGCCTGTCCTGAGACTATAGGAGTCTGTCCTCAGAATCCACTGGGGGCCTGTCCTCAGAGTCCCCTGGAAGCTTTAAATAATTGGAATTTTCAGCCTTCTAAAGTGAGATTCTAACGTAATGGATCTGGAATGGGGCCCAGGTACTAAACAAAACCAGGTTTTGAACTCTCTCCACGTGACTCGGCCGTTTCCCAGTTCCTCCCTTCCCCTGCCTCTGCCTCTGCCCCTCACGGCCCCACACTCTCCACCCTTGCCATGGACACATCAGAAGCCTCTGGAGGGTCTTGGTGGACAAAGATGGATCCCTATCCCGGAGTGAACCAGGCAGAGACCAGAGGGCTAGCCTCGTAAAGATCGGAGGTCTCTGGCGCCCCCTGCTGTCCATCGCGGAAGCAGGCGCTTCGGGCGGTCTCTGCAGCCTTCACTGCCCTGTCCTCTCCAGCCTGTCACTCTGACCTCTGTTCTCCATCCCAGAAGAAAATACTGTCTTCCTGCCCAGCTGTGTTCTGACTGCTTCTCCTCTGAGCCTGTGTTAGTGCATTACTTAGCTTCACCCAGCTAGCTAGTGTTGGAGCCCAGAGTGCCCCGCAGACCTGCCACCTTGCTGTCCTTGCTGAGTCACAGGGGATGCGACCCTCAGGACCTTCACTTCGCCAAATTGCTAGTTAACCACCGTTCTCCACTCCCTCCATAAAACCCGCTGACGAAGTCTCGGCCCTCGAGGAGCAAGGAGAGGGACGCCTTCTTACAGTCACCTGTATTTGCTCCTGACCTCACAGGACTGACCGTACTGGCTATTTTAATAAGAATATAATCAAACGTCTTGAATTCTAATGAACAAGAAAAGAAAGAGCTTTTTGGATAAAAATTACTGCGCTGACTTGGAAAGGCCACTTACAGTGAAGTTGCTAAAACCGTCAAATTACATATGAGTGTTACAACCTTAAAAGACTGGAATAAAAGTGGTGAAAATCTAGTAGGGTTTGACTTCTGGTAGCAGGCGACCTTAAAGTTTCTTCCTGACGGTCCGCACCCTCCGCCCCATGACGACGGCACATTACTGAGGTGGCCTCCAGGGGGCGCAGCTCTCAGGAACCTCCTTTGCAGCTGGGCCTCCCAGGGTCAGGTTCATGCCAGCTCCGAGAGTCCCTGCCCATGGCACAAGATTGGCCAGAGAAGGTGCCCTTACAGATTTGAAGCTAAAATGTTTGAAGCTTATATGATTGTTTTCTTTTTTTAAAAAAGATATCATTCTTTCCTTTAACTGACTGTGAGAATTTCTGACCGGGACGCAGTTCAGCCCATGAAAGGCTTCTCCTGAAACGAAGGGGAACCCGGCCCAGGTGAAGTGGGATTGAGGCAGTGGAGACTCCTTGGTACCCTAGTCGACCTGAAAAAGCACAGGGACACCCTATTAACTTAAATTTTAAATAATCGATGAATGCTGTTTTAGTATAAGTGTGTCCCAAATATTACTGGGGATATATTTATACTAAAAGTTATTTGCTTAACTGAAATTCCAATTTAGCCATGTTTTTATTTGTTAAATCTGGCAGCCCTGTGCAGGGCAGAACCATGTGGCCTTGCCTGGCCCGTGGCTCCATGCCCAGGTCTGGCCAAAAGCCAAGGCTTCGACCACAGCCTGGCAGCTTGAAGGTGCTCCAGCCTTCGGACCACCAATGTGGCCCCAGCCCTGTGGGTAGGGCAGGCAACTCACCATGCCTAGAAGGGTCTTTTCTGAAGTGCTTCCTCCCGGAGCTACAAGTTCACGTTCATTACATGGGACAAGCTGGTGGACTGCAACCCTGAACTCACTGGCCAGCTGAGGCCCCTGGCCCAGGACACCCAGGGACTCACAGCTGTCTGGAGCTGGCTTTGGCTGGGCTTGTCATAGAGAAAACCTGATGGGGCCAGAGAGACAGGCAGATCACCACTGGAAAGCCCCCTTTTCTCGGAGTTGGGGCCAGGGATGAGATACAGGGCAAGGGCTTGCCCCACAAGCCCATTACTCACGAGGAGAAGCATCAGCTTTCCTTGTCAGTTAGGACAGGAGCCTGGATTCTGTGACCCAGTCCACACTGCATGCACTGTGTCTTAAGGCACCCAAGGGCCTGGGTCTTCTTCCTGGAAATATTCTCTACTCTGCCAGCCTAGGGCCTCAGCACTCTGGCAATGCAAGAATGACATTCAAGATCACACTTCTAGGTTGGGGTGGCCTGGCCCCGCTGGATGGAAGAAAAGAGACCTGAGAAGGAGAGAGAGGCCTACGGTACACCCCCACCCCCACTCCGTGATAGCATCAAAAGATACAGAACATAGAGGCTCCTCATTCATCCTCTTCTTGCCAGGGGACTGAAAACTTTCAAGGACCACCTCTGGACACTGCATCAACATTTAACCAGTATTGTTTTAGCCCAAAGGGTGTGCATGTGTGTATATATGTGTACATGTGCATGTGTGTGTGTGCATTTATGGACAGGGTGGTGTCTGTGTGTGTGCATGTGTATTTGTGCATGTGTGCATGAATGTGGTGTGTGTTGTGTATGGGATGTCTGATGTGTGAGTGATGTGTGGTGTGTGCATGCA